ACTCGGAAAGTAACCAGCAGACTATAACTTATTAAATAATTTAACTAGTAAAACTGTAAATTTGGTGGGACATTTTTTTAATCAATTCTGCTGGAATGCCATCATACCCTGTAGCTTTACCCCTTTTTCATGTCATGAATTACTTTGTTAACTTCCTCGAGTGTAATTTCGCTCACAAGTTCGTCACAATTAATATGGTTACAATCCTGGTCACTTTCTTGAAAGTTAAAATTGTCCACAAACTGTTTAACCTCTTCGTAAAAAGGGTCCACATCAATTTCACCTTCATTATAACTGAACAGGTTTCGAAAATAACCAAACCATTCATAATATATTACTAGCTATATTTATCCATGCAATGGAACATAACATAACATAACATTTATGTTATGTAATGGGTACACCACCAGTGATGTGTAGTTACATGGGTATATAAACTTATTTAACTTTCGCTTAAAATGTTAATTGTATTGTTACTTATTTTAGCTTCATCGCAAAAATAAAAGAAACTGTTGGTTAACAGATATTTTCAATGGGGGGCAATATCCATAAAAGGTTGTGGGAAGTGGTGGCGACAAAAAACAATGGACAGACTTTCGATTATAGCGGAAGGCACTGTTTAAATGAAGAAGTGGGATGTAAAAACTAACATCTAACAACATACTCTCAACATTTAGAATGTCTTCAAATGTAATCGTAGACAACTGAATGTGAAGACGTGTCCTAAAACAATACACAGAATTATGTAATGCGTTCGTTAGCTGCTTCTGACCTCAGACTAGTAATTGGGTTGTATTACTAGTCTGAGTTTTGACCATGGAGCGACAACAGTGTAATTACATAATTTGGAATTTCACTTTTTTTTGGCTTAGCTTATATGGGTCATGTTTTCCCTTCGACCACCATGCCTTTGAAAACGCTATATCTAGCTAGAGTCGAAATTAAAAAAATCATCTCCGAGTCCGAGCAGAAACATGGAGTCCTTGCGTTTCTGAAGACAAATATTTAGTAATCGTGGTACGGCATTGTGTCGGGCGTAGTATGCGTCCGAGTGAATCCATCAGTTCATGGTTCCCTCCATGGCCAGTCAGAGCACATTAACTATCGCCAACTAATACACGCCGTGAGGTTCAGTGATATCACGTACTACCAGGATGCAACCCAACAAAATCTGAAAGATTTTCGCAACTGAGTGAATTAATAATACATAGTTGTACCATGGTTGTACAGATATACAACGATAATACAATACACCACAGTTCCTCTATTCACATTATGAATATAATCAATGCGAGATGCATACTATCCCGTGTAAAACATAACTTTAAAGGACGGCAGTCGTCGCGCCGCGTCCTGTTCGATATGGGACTCATAGCGACGTATACAACGCGTGTAAAATACATTTTTTTATTTACAGGAGATTCGAACACGCGCTGCGCGACGACCACCACGCTTTAAGGTTGCTGTAACCTCAGACTAGTAATATTACTGGTCTGAGCTGTAACTTCATAGTTACAGAGCTTTGTTGGCAAAACATGCATATGTAAATATGCATATGTAGTCTGCCAGGACACGTGCACTCTGCAATGCGCACATTCTGCTATGGATGCCATACAAACGAAATATAAGTGGTGCAAACATAATACTGTTTCACATTTACATCGTAGTTGTGGCGGTCACTATAAGTTCACTACGTAGTACATCAAAGGGCAAACAAAGGTAAGATTTTGATGGTAATGGTAGCAGAAGGGTCGCGATCATACAGTTTTATTGTTAATGGTCGTCGTTCAGTGTTTTAGATCACCATTGAGTTAAAGCGGGAGGGTCGTCACCTGCGCAGGCGCGGGAATTGAGTCCCAAACGACGATAACAACACACGCTAAAAACGCCAAGGCTCGTGGGTAGACGCTTGTCTGTAAACAATGACACGCAATGGCTATCTGACGCATGCGCAGGTGACGACTCCCCCGCTTTGAAAAAGCTCTACTAGTATTCACATCAATTATCTCCATGCATCAATAGATAAAACCCTGCTTTGTGTCGAAAACTGTTACGTAACTTACGATTCAACAATGGGCCTAATAAGGTGATTTTGTTGTTTTCACTCATTCCATGGAGGTAAAAGAGTCCATGGACATTGGCTATCACGAGGTCACGTGAAAGTTGTAATCAATGCGCATGCTCGTGACAGCGCCCGAGTAATCCCATAACCATTAAAACAGTATTATACGCGTACTGTCTATCTTTAACTATGGAGCCTGCTGCAGAAGAAAACCATTCACATTTTCTTACAAACGCGCTACTCTGTACCGTTGCATCACTGATAGTCTACCTGTTGTACTTGAGTTGGAGCCGTCCTAACAAGTTTCCACCGGGACCGTATGGTTGGCCATTGGTTGGTTCGCTGCCTTCGTTGTCACGGGACAAACCATATAAAGTCCTCACGAAATTGTCGAAACAGTATGATGATGTATTTAGTATCAAAATTGGCCAACGATTAGCAGTGGTGTTGAACGGCCAGAACGCACTCAGAGAGGCACTGGTGAGGAAAGCAGACTACTTCAGTGGACGTCCTACCTTTACTCCTGGTGCGATCGTAAGTGAAGGAAAAGGTAAATGACTGCATTTCATTTCAATTTCTTTGACTGTTACACAAATCTCCACCCTATTTTGTAAACTATAGTTCTAATGAATATTTTAGTGTTGTAGTGATTACTGTAGCTGACCTTCAGTTGCAGACAACTTTCAATGCACCCCCCCCCCCATTTCGATTATATAATGAACATAGAACAAAGGCGACCATAATGTCGCTACGGGCAACACCTCTGACGAGAGGTCCAGTAAACGCGCACATTTCATTGTTAGGCGATCGAAATTTGCAATTTTCAACTATGGGTGTCATACTACTAATCGTATGCCAATTGTTGACGATTACTTCAGTCGCAGCTTGTTTGATTCATGTTTGATTGTAGACTAAAGAAGCCCCTCCCACAACCACAACGACGACAATAGCTAAATTAGCTAAAACATGGTTAAAACAACATGCTAGCTAAAATTATTTGTGTTGCAGTACTAGTATCATGGAGGTGGAGGTAAAAGACTTTTACCTCCATGCTAGTATACTGAAGAAATCTGAAAAAGCCCAAAAGACTGTATTTTTGTGTTGATTTTGTTTATGTTTGGTCATAATGAAACATACTTGGAGCTTATACTCAAACAAACCATGGCTTAGTCTACGTACATTTTTACCTGTAAATGCCCATGAATATATTCCCTATTTATAGTCATGTCATGCTCGTTTTACCTTAAATTTTGTTTCTATTAAAAAAAAGAAAGCTGTTATTTAGGTTAAAGTGGCCTGACAACCGTCAATCTGATTAAAACAAGGTTCTAGTTTGGATTTTTTTTTTTTTTTTTTAATTTCTTATTTATTTGCTAACAGTTTCTTAAAAGTTTTGGTAATCGCGAAAGACACCAAGTATCTGATCCAATGTCCATAGAAATAACGTTCAAATTCATTTGATCACTGCTATCTTATATTGGCCGACGGAGTGCACACGGGAGTAAACAATTACAATGTACAAGAAAAAAGATCAAAAATTAGCTATGAAAATACCAGGAAAATGATTGTTAGATTCTCCACTCTGAGATTCTACAACATTTTACAATTCTTATCTTAACACTGATTTTTTTTATTTATAACAAATATGTACACTTCCTGCTGCATCTTCGCCAGTCAAGGTTGTTTCTTCAGCCATCGCTACACTGGTATTGAGGCTCCAACTTCACATCAAACACGTAACTTAACAAATAAAATAAGTAAATCATAAGAATTAGAAAACTGCAAACATCATACTATATGTTCCACAAAACAATGCAACAATCAAATCCCAAACTGATTTAATTCACGGGAGCACGTTGTCTACGCTGAACAATGAAGCTAAAATGGTAGGTCCCGGAAAGTACCGGTAGGCACCGGGCGGTGTTTAGTGGGACTGGTCCGGTTTAACTATGATTAACAGTAACCAGGAAGGTATACATGTTAGTTATATGGTTATAAAACAATAACAATGCAAATTCAGAAAATGCAGATTACAGAATAACAGAAAGTACTATTTTGTGCGGAATAATATGTCTGAATGTGCTCATTTTATTGTCATGTCGGAAAATGGTATATCGAAATAGTTATGAATATATTAGTAAATTTTCCAATCTAGAGCTAAGCTTTCGCACACACTTCGTTAGCCCGAGCTAAGGGTTTATACCGCGTCAGATTTATTTCCTATACTGTTTCTGAGTCCGTACTAAGTGTTCACATACGTTTTCTTAGCCCGTGCTAAGTAGCTGTGCGCGAACGCAGCTTATGTTTAACAATAATCGGTAAAACTGCAATGTGTTTCCACAGGAATAATAAATGCACAACACGACGAGAATGGTAGACATCTACGTCGATTCACTCTGAAGACTTTGAAGCACTTCGGAATGGGAAAATCGGTTCTGGAAGGAAGTATATTAAAAGAAGTTCGTCACATGACGGATGCGATCAACATACACAGTGGAATGCCAATAGATCTATCCATCCATCTTTCAAATGCAACGTATAATATCATCTGTTCTATGGTGTTTGGAAAAAGATATCGATACAATGATCAACGTTTCCAAAGACTTTTAACGATGGTGGCTGACTTTTTTAAACTGTCCGGTATAGCCGCAATGACCAAGTATCTGCCAATACTGCGACTTATTCCATGGAATAATATCCTGGAAAAAATTCACTGGAGAACGAATGAAATCAAGCAGTGGATTCAGCCTGATATTGATGAACACATCGAACACTTTGATTTGAGCTCTGAACCGAAAGATTTTGTAGATGTTTATTTAGCTGAGATGACGCGCGACGAATTGAAGGAACAGCCAACATCAATGAACAGCACAAACCTTGTCCGGACCATTATTGATCTATTCCTGGCGGGCACTGAAACCACGGCAACGACACTGCGATGGGCGATATTATACTTAGTATTGCATCCCGATATACAAAAGAAAGTACGCGATGAAATAATAGATGAAGTAGGACAAGACCGTGATGTATCAATGGCCGATAAACACAAGCTACCTTACACGGAGGCAGTTATACTTGAAGTCAATCGTATCAGTTGTATTGCGCCCTTGGCAGTGTTTCACACAACAACTGATGACGTCACAGTTGGTGGTTATTTAATTCCCAAACATACAATGGTTATCCCTAATTTATGGTCGGCTCACATGGATCCTGAAGTATGGGTTGAACCTGATGCGTTTATGCCTGAACGATTTCTTCACAATGGAAAAGTCGTGAATTCAGATAAAATCGTTTCATTTAGTCTCGGTGAGTACTTAATTATTGAATTATAGTGACGTCATTATCGCAATTATTCATAATTTAATTTGACATTTTTCGTCTCATGGATCGATTGTTCCCAGTGTCATAAGATCTACCAGTTCTAGGGATTGTGGGTGCACAACTGAATTTTTACATCATTCCAAAGATACTACTAGTATACTTACCGTATATGAAATGAGGTCCAATTCCCGGCGTTGTACATGTAATCATGCTGTTTAAACAACTAATCTTTGTCTTTATTTCTCACTAGTAATAAAAATAAACTAAAAAATAGTCTACTAGTAATTAACAATCATGCCTATTAAAATACATGTACTACAGTTTTTGATAAATTTTCTTTTATTTTGGAGACTGCATGTGTGTAAAAGGATGTGAGCAAATATTGAGAACGTAACTGTCACGATCTCAAATATGTTACTACAAATTACCTGATTTTAACACAGTGTAGCCTGACGAGGTCGCGTGCGTTGCGCCCTACCGCGGTGCTCCAATGATGCCGTTCGGCCGGAGAGCGCCTACATGTCAGGCTAAACCAATCTCTGTAGTCTGTGGCTAAACTTAATGTTGCGTATCCGTTTCTAACCTATTCATCGGAATTACCCACTATTAAATTAAATTTGTCCGTTTTTTTTCCAGGTCGTCGTGCTTGCGTTGGCAGACAACTTGCCGAAATGGAATTGTTTCTGATTTTGACAACACTGTTACAACACCATGAGTTTAGTATTCCCGAAGGCATGGAACCGCCAACCACGGAAAGGATAGTGGGAATAACAGTTTTTCCAAAACCGTACGAGGTGTGCGTCGTAAAACACTGATATCTTGGCTAGATAAATATGAAATAGATGTCATCAACATTTCTGATTTTTTTTATTGTCATTTGAATAGTGCGCAAAATGTGTGAGCTATGTACCAATGTAATGCATGAGTTGATCCTCGGACGTGTAATACTTACCGTGTTCACATCTATTTTCGTGTCCCTTTACGCCCCTTGAAGGAGTGTATAAGCACCGGCATTACGTAATAGTTACGTCGGCGCATGGAGCTAAAAATGAAAGATCCATGGTCGGCGTAAAAACAGATGAGAACATGTTACGCCGGCGTAAATGGTTTTAAATATGACGATCTTGTAAATACATTGGCGTCCTAAACTGAATGTGGAAGACACGGCCAACTAATTTTAAGTTCGTTTTATTCTAAATTAGGTTGGCTGGCAATGTGTTTCATGGTTACTATATTGACTTGTATACATTGTTGAACTCGAAATATGCCGGTGGCTCCAACCTCGGAACTATAAAACACGAAATTTGTAGTTCCGTGTTCCAACTCTGGCATAGGGATAAAAGAAAATTAATCCCATGTTTCAACAAATTTATATGAATGTATGTTTTTATGGCATTTTACTGCGCGAATGAAAAAGTACACAGAAGACATGAATATACGGTCAGTCAAAACACTGCCCTCTACGAGTCAGTGTCATTGTATGCCTTATCCAGTGGCTGCCATATTTACGTCTCTTGTAAGAATTGCTGGTATGAACGCAAGATCGTGAGTTCCGTATCTTTGTATTTTAAACTACTGAGCGCAAATTACGTTGGCGTCTCTACAGGCAATGCATCAGACGAGAGATCAAGCAAACCTGCATATTTCACTGTTACACGAGACGAAAACCCACCTATTTTCGACAAATTACGAATATCATGGTACTGATTTATAAAGATTACCTGGAGATTAGTGAAGACATTTTTGAAAACCTAGTTAGATTCGAGGGCCGGAAAAGTAAAATTCCCATGTGAATAAACTCACCGTTACACAGGATGTTGAAATGAATTGTGTCAATTTTTAATAAAGAATTTAAAAAAAAAAGTTAAAAATTTGTCTAATTCTTTCAAATTTCGTCTGTTATGTTGTAAGTCATATTTATCGGATCGGCTTACGACTTTATGCAAATGTTCACACATCGTGAATGGTCTATGTAACCACAGACCCTGGGGTTTATGATGTAACAAACGAAATTTTGTGGCCAAACACGTGTGTAATCAAGAATTAAAATTTGCGGTAAAGCCGAGAGTTGTAAATATATAACGTGAACACTAATAAAGCATTTCTGCATTCCGGATTTCGGTCGTGTATGAATGGATTTGAGCCCCGGATGTACGTCAGTAGTTTAAGTTACATTATAGGTACGACCATGA